GTCTGCCTTTGGCTCAGGTCATGATCCCAGGGTCCTGGGATCGAGCCCTGCATCGGGCTCCCTGCTCCGTGGGGAGCCTGCTTCTCCCTCTGCCTGTGCCGCTCCCCCCCCCCATGCTCTCTCTCTCTCTCTCTCTCGCTCACTTTCTCTCTCAAATAAATAAAATCTTAAAAAATAAAATAAAACCCTACTGTAAACACAGATAATTAGATACCTAATTATGGGGCAGAAGAATAACTGTGCAGATTCTTTTCTCTTACTGCTTATCAAGAATATTTTTCTTGCCTATTGTCTGCTTCTTTCTCTTCTCCTCCTTCACTGAGATAATCCAGGTAAGTTCCTCCGCTCCCTTATTCTTTACAGACCTGCATGTCTGTCTCTATACCCAGTGTCGTCTTTCATTCCATGTCTATGGAGAAATGCCCGGTCCTCCACTGATGCATGTCTGCCCTCAAAGCCATCTTGTCCTCAAGCTTCATTCCCCATCCGTTCTTTTCATTTTCCCCTGTCAACACCGGCATCATCTGCGGGCCAGGCACTGGGCTCTGTCCCAGAGCTGAAGGGTGGGTTGGGCACGGTGCCTGCCGTGGAGTGGAGGAGAAGGACGCAGTGTAGATCCTGGTGACTACAGGGTGCCCAGGCGGAGAAGTATCTCAGCCAGCCTAGGGGCTCAAAGGTTCCAGGAGGACACAACATGGGAACAGAGGCCTGAGGAGGGAGTAGAACAGGCTTCCCCCGGGTCTGGTAAAGTGGAAACCCAAAGTAAGCAGAATGTGTATTCTGTGATCCCGTGGTGGCGGGGGGAATGAGGGAGGGAAGAAAGAAAGGAGGGAGGGACAGAAGGGAAGGTGGGAAGACCCATGTCAGAACTGAGGAGGACAGTTTGCTCGAACATACAGAGCTAACACTGTTCTTTCAGGGTGGTGTGAGCCGGCCAGGCTTGGAGCCAGGCGGCCGGAGACTGTCAGTGCCCGGGGTACTTTCCTAATTGATTAATTGAAACTGTAAGGAAAATCTTCATATTAATCTTATAATTCTATCTTAATATTTTGGTACCTCTCTAGTCATTTTTTTCTACCCATAGTATTTTTACACGATGATGATGATATTCTATTTTTAACACTTCTGTCTTTTTAACATGTTCTTATAAGCCCTTTTTTCTTTTGGTGTCATTAGTACCATTCTGTCAAATAGATACACCGTCCTTTACTTGGGTACTCTTGTTTGGGGGCTTTTAGACTGTTTCCTCATTTTACTGTATAAGTAATGCTCTATTACATACATAAAGCTTTTCTCCATATATAAGACTTGTTCCTGTCATGTAGGCTATCGGTTAGGACGCTTCCAGGTCCAGAAGCAGAGACTGGGTCTGGCTCTTTTTTCAATAGGGCCCTGATTGGGAGGTTGTTGGAGCCCAGAGAAGGGACAGGAGGCTGGAGGGCCAGGGATAGAGCAGCCGTCCCTGGACAAAGAGGCCAGGATGCTGCAGCCAGAGTAGCTGAGCGATGCCCCCACCTCTCTTGGTCAGAGGAGGGGTGCTGAGCTGGCTGGGCCTGGCCTTTGGCGGTGGGCCGAGGAGGAATCTGACCATGTTGGGCTTCGTGTGATTGGAGCTCCCTCAAAATGGAAATTGGGGTTGGTTCTGGACAGCCAGGGAAAAAACAAAGCAAAACAAAACTTGGCCATTACAACCACATTACTTATTTCCCAAGTCGATTTATTGAGGCCCAGGGTGGGAGCGGTGTTAAGTTGATATATATTGCCAAATTATTTTCCAGCGATGTATCAGGAACCAGCCCCCACTCGGACTTATTGGCCACAGTACGTTGCGAAAATCCAGTGCCGCCCGTCACCCTTGAATAACTTCTGGTATTGAGAAGTTTCTGTCCACCGGAAATCCCTCTTCCTTGATTCCTGTGACACAGCTGGGCATCGAGGAGAGGAAGTCAGAAGACCTGGTAGCCAGCCTCAGGGAGCACGCACTCAGACAGGAAGGCAGTAAGCTCAGGGCAGTGCGTTTACAGAGCCTACCGGATGGTCACACGACACCATCGAAGCAACCTCATTGGGGCTGCTCATTCTGGAAAGTTGGGTAGAAATCTAGCAGAGGCAGGCTAGCGTTCCAGGCAGTAGGAAATGCAGGTTTGCAGGAGGCATGAAGGCCCGAAACGACACTCGGTTTCTCAAACAAGAATTGGGGCTGGCCGGCTGGGCCCGAGGGTGCCTGCTGGAGAGGTGTGGCGGTGAGGCTAGTCACGGAGGCTAGGCCAGCTCAGGGGGGCCCAGGCCACAAACCCAGCCCCCTTTTGGCTTGCATCGCTTTCCCTCTTCCCACTTCCACTGAAGACCTTACGTTGGGCTCAGTCTTCTTGGCACTTTATCTTTAAGCTTCTTCATCTGCTCTCTTGGACGGCTTCATGGTCAACCGGAAGTTCCACAGTCTCAGACCCGGACTGCACCTGAAGTTCAAGGTCTGTGTCTTCAGGTGCTGCCAGTCCGTTTCTCTGGCCTGCCCCCCAGCTCCCTCTCAATCTGGGCATCTTCTTTGTACACTCCTTACCTGCAGGAGAGACCAGACAGGAACCTTCGTAATGAAGCAGGCCACCGCGATGACCTCCAGGGACAAATGGGAGAGTAAACAACAGATTGTCGCCAAGTGGGAATGCCGTGCCGGTCATCTCTCTGCTTGTTTTCTTGGGAGAAGCCTGAAATCTGGATCTTCAAGTGAGATCTCCCAGTATTTTAGTGTTGACAGTAAATTAACATTTAAAAAAATGTCCATGTGGGCCAAATAAAACATGTCACAGCGTACTTCTTGGGGACCTCTCGGTAACATGCATCCAGTCCGTCCCCCGGGCCTATTTGGAAATGACTCTGAGATCTCCCTCTTCCCTCTTCATCGCTTGATGTTCTCACCACTCTGTTTCTGGCTCTTGTCACTTTTATGTGGCCATTAAAGATAATAATGACAAAGCCTGTTTATCGGGACAGGAAAATGTGCATGAGTGGAGTCTTGATCATATTTATAGAAACTGTGGCCCACATCTTCTGGTTTTGGTGTATGAATGCAGCAAACGTGTCCCCCTTGCCCCCCGCCCAGCTGTCAGCGTTACAAAGAGAAATAAGATGAGTCTCTCTGCTTAAGGTGCTTATTTTTTAAACTTGCTTTTCCCAATTGATTTTAAACTGTTTCCCTCCCTTAGACCCATCTGCTGCATTTTAGACAAAATGACTTTTCTCCGTCACGGGGCTGATAGAGACCAAGTAGTAAAACCGTGAAGTGCATGACTCTTAGACCTGCTTCTGGAACCCAAGAGAAATCTGCGGCACTCTGATGACTATATTGGGATTGGCCCAGATGCATTTCAGGGGCTAACGTGTACGGCCCACAGATCTCTCCTGCTCTGGGCACCCCTTACGTCCTCCCTTCCTCCTGGGCCCTGTGGTCGCTCGTGAAATGTGTAAAATGCATGTGTGAGGCGTTTGTGGTCAGATGTCTCGTATATGTGACCACATCACTGTTGTCTGCTTTGATTTTGAGTTCCTACTGTGGAAAAGCCCATTTTTCTGCTAATGGCATTTATTTGGGAAGCAGGAATAGGAGCAGTAAGTTCAAATGTTGATGCTTCGGCTTAATCCAGGCAAAATGAAGCCTTTGAGAGAAGCACAAAATTGGAAAACCTTTATTTAATGGAAGGTGATTGATAGGGGCTGACAGCCTCAGAGGCCTCCACGCTTCTGTAATCTGCTACGAGGCTATCATCAAGGGGTCAGAAATGATCACAAAGTAGAATCATTTTTTGATTATTGTTTTTGCTTGGTGTGGTTTGGAAAGATAAGGTGTGATTTCCAAGGGTGGCTTCTGTTGTTACGGGAGTAATAATTACATTGTATGGGCCTCGGTCGGTGCTCCCCCCCTCCAATGTACATGTTTATGCGTGTTTTCTGGTAATGTGTGTTCACCAGTGACTTCACGTGCTTTCAGCTGGCCCTGCAGGACCCATAAGGACTGACTGGGCTGAGAAGGACCGTCAGGAGGCCTGGGACAGAGTATGCTTTGCGTACTTGAGGTATACTTTACCTCTGTTATTTGCCCACTGCCCATGGCAGGGGGAAGAGTGCCCCAGCACCTGCTCGACATGTCTTGTCAACCCAACCTAACCCTTCAGGACTTCACCATTACACCCATGTGCTTCCATTCGTATATGGATTTTCTTTAATATTTGTAAATTGAAATGAAATGAAGAACTGGATTCTGGTCGTGACAGAGATCACCCAAGCTGGGTAGGCCTGGGAGCGGAAAGTGACTGGACAGCTCTGTACATGCAAAACCGGTGGTTTGGACTAGACGCTCTTTGAGGTTCTTCCAGCCCTGTCATCCTCTTTCCACACCCCTTTGAAGAGAATCAGGCACCCCCTCGCAACCCCGCCGTACCCTACACACACACACATGGAGTAATAAATCAGAGACGAGACAGGGGTCTAGGCCAGAACTGTATCCGTCTCATTTCCTATAGGCTGGCCAGCACCAAGTTAGATACTTGCAGGATTAAATCATAGCTGAATAGGGATTTTTACCTGCATCGTCATGTGTTCCTGTGTTGATTGCAAATGTTGTTAACCAACGTCTATCATTTTTCTCATCGGAACAAAACAAGAAAGACGGGGGAGTTTTTAATGGAAGTTACAGAGGAAGTTTGGTAGGTTTATAAAGGTGGAAAATAAAGGAATGGGGTAATGGGAGTAACTCCTGGGTTCTGTGTTCAAGAGTAGTTGCTAGAAAGAGATTCCTAACACTTCTCTCTCAAGTTGGGCTATTTTTAGTTACTGTTTTAGAAGTGAGTTGGTGGGGGCACCTGGGTGACTCAGTCGTTAAGCGTCCGCCTTCGGCTCAGGTCATGGTCACAGGGTCCTGGGATCGAGCCCCACATCGGGCTCCCTGCTCCACAGGAAGCCTGCTTCTCCCTCTCCGACTCGCCCTGCTTGTGTTCTCTCTCTTGCTGTATCTCTCTCTCTGTCAAATAAGTAAACAAAATCTTGAAAATAAATAAAAAGAAGTGAGTCGGTGGAACTTTTTTTTTTTAGTTTTTTGGAAAACATCTCTTAAGATTTAAGTTTTTAGCATGGTTTTCATGCCTCTCTCCTCTTAAAAAATGTAACTCTAAAATGGGTTAAATGGACACGGAGCTGAGTTTAGGGTTGTTAAAGTCACAGTTGTTCACAAGTGGATTGTCTTCTTCGTGTGTTATCAAAACAGAAATTCAGGTATCAGATTATCTTCCTGATCTCCTGTGTCTACCCTGTTTAGGGGGCCTCCTGGCCCCAGCCAGTTTTTGGTGGGTGCTCAGAGAATGGGGCGGTTTTACTTAGGACATTAGCTGTAATAGCCAACATTGCTTAGGAGAAACAGCAACCACCGATAAATAAAGTTGAGCAGTTGTCATGGTTTTAGAAATGGTAATAATTAATAGCTGGCCCTAGTACTGTCTGACTCTGTCCAGGCACATGTGTTGTTCCGTCCACGAGTGAATCCCCCCTCGCACCTGCTCTTCAGCCTGCAGCCTGCGTGAAAAGCAGCTCAAGTGCAAAGTAATGCTTACGGTCCAGAGAATCTGCCCTTGTGACTTCCTCTTGATCCTAATGAAACATGCCCACTTGGAAGTGCACATGTTGGAATGAAGTCAGAGGGATTGGGTAGTTGAAGGGAATGTGTGGTATTCAAAAAATAACTAGATAATTCTCCCTTACCAAGCCCCTTGGACGTGCCGTGTTATCAGCCAGATATTAACCTTTAAAGAACTCGACTCTAGACGTTGTCACATTAATGAGAAATTGAGATAGCCCTTCATCGTCTCCAGCACAACCTCACCAGTGACTCGGTATTTAATCTTTGGCTCCCCTTTTCTTTCTTTCGCAGGGCCAAGCAATCATGACAATTTCCAGTCATTGAACCAGCGTTAAATTCCTAAGAAAAATTGATTTGGGTCTCATTTTAAATCACTGATGAGTTTTCTCTGCCCATGCGTGTGAACAGGGAGATCAATTTCTCCGGATTAGCAGTAGAATGCTCTTTGTATTGGACTTGAGTCTCAGCTGTCCGTGACACAAGCCGTCTCCCGCAGCAGGCACCTCAGGTCTCTGCTCGTCTCTGCACGTCGGGCATACATCTGTGTCGGCCTTGTGTCTCCTGAGCAGCCTCCACGTGTCCGCTCACTTGTGCTTATTAGAGACGTTGGCCCTTGAAGCAATAGCTCCTTTCAAAATGACTTTGGGATTTCTGGAAAGCCTTATATATTTTAAAAATTTCTTGTAGATATGGATCTGAGAGTTTTCATTGTTGTGTTGGCATTGGTTTGCTGTAGCTTCCTACATGTAAGTACAGAGAAATGAAAAGAAACTGGGAAATGGTCATTTTTTGAAAGAATATTTTTATTTATTTGAGAGAGAGCATGAGTGGGGAGAGGGGCAGAAGGAGAGGGAGAAGCAGACTCCCCGCTGAGCAGGGAGCCCGACGTGGGCCTCGATCCCAGGACCCTGAGCCGAAGGCAGATGCTTAACCGACTGAGCCACCCAGGTGCCCCAGGAAATGGTCACTTTAAGAATGAATAAATACGGTGGTCACGCAACACTGTGAAAGGACTTAGTGCCAACTGAACCACACACTTAAGGATGGTTCATGTGGTAAATTTCATGGTACATGCATTTAATCACAATAAATTTTTTTAATTTAAAAAACAGATGGAATTTCATTTCATGAAATTATGGCAAAGTTATAGTAATACAATTTCTAAAACTCCTTGGCATGATTATAAAATACAATACTCTCCCGTACAACCGTTTTTTATGTGATGTGGTAACAGACTCCTAATTATATCGATATAGATTTGCCTAAGCAAAATAGAGAAGGGAACAAAAATGCCCTCAAAAATTAGAGGACATCTCACAAATAAATGTAGGGGAATTAAGCTTTATTGTTGCCATATCTTATTTTTGTCATTCCTATTAATACTGGGAAAGCACAGTTACCTGATCACTGATACATCCCTATATCCTAAGTATTGGCAGTTTATTTCTGAAACCTGAAAGGAAAGTTTTCTACCTTGAATGTTTGATTTACAGAGACTTCCCTCTTCCTGCCATCAGCCCTCTGGCATTACACTTACTCATATAATTTCAGTAACGTGACTCTTAGCATATTTATCCTTGATAAATCAGGGATGCCTTTTGCCCCACCTTGCTGCTCTGACTTCCATTTTGTTTACAGGTAATGAAGCCTCTAAGAGTTGGGGCACGTGCTTTTTCACTTTGGTCAGGAAGCAGGCTCACCTTAACTGTGACATCGAGTCTGTTTTTTCACCGTGCCTTCCTTAGCAAAGTTAAACTTCCAGTCCTTCCAAACAACGGTCATCCTCTTTGTGATCCAAATTTACGTCTCTTCTCCCTGTCTTTTCAACTCTGCTTCTCTTTCTTTCTGTTTTATAATGTGACCTGGAGCGGCTTCTGTGGTTTTCCTCCTTCCTTAAGTATTTCTTAGCTGTGTCTTACATTTTTGGTAGCATGTGCTGGCTCCAATCAATTTAATAGCCAGATGTGCTGGACTTTAAATATTCTTCCCTCACCACCTCCCCCCACCCAAAGCACCTTTATTGCCAGGTGGCGAAAATTCTAGACCTTAGGCAAATTTTTCAGAACAAGAGCTCTTTTAGCCTGTCAGTACTAAGTAAATATTTCTAAGCACTTTGCAAAGTGGAGACTATAATTGTGATACAATTTTATATGTGAAGGGAGAGGGAAAGGAGAGCCATCTGGAAGGAGCTTCTCTTTGTCCTATGGCTGTTCTAATGCTCACAGAGCTGAACATAACAACTCGCCTGTGGCAAATTAGAAGATTTAGGTATCTAAAGGCGCATATTACATGGGTTTTTTGTTTTTGTTTTTGTTTTCTTGGAAAAAGATCAAATTACTACTGATTA